TTTCTTAGTGCAAACAGAGTGAACAGGAGTGGGTTGTGTGCGCCCATGTGACGCTGACGCTCTATCACACAGTGTGACGCTGTTACTGCCAATGTTCTTTTAAATTTCACAGAGTTGAGAGAAAGTGATGTTTTTCTTTGCTACAAGCAACAAATCAAACTTGAATCCTTTTATCCCGAAAGTTAAAAGCAAATAAAGACATTATGTGATCATTTTCGAACTGAGTTTTATTGTTTTTATCTTGAGGTTTACAGCAAAAATATTATTTGCAGAACATTCGCATACTTTAAACACACAAAGTTTCACATCAAACATTCAGACTGCATTAAGCCGATCACAAAGGCCTCCAGACTTTGTTTTAAACAAATTTAAAAATTATAAAAAGAATATTGTCTGCAGATACTAATTTCATTTATAATAAAATCAATAGTTATTCCAGTACAAGGATAGGAGTTGGTAGGAAGGAGTATTAGGGACACATTAAGAAAAAATAATATTAACGACCATTTTGAGAATGAAGTCGCAATAAAGTCAAAACATGTTTCAAGATAAACTGCCACGGTTGATACATCATCTGAGTTAGCGCGAATTCGTAGAAATTATCATTTATCTTTTAACACATAAACACAGTTTGGTGATCTGGACGTTATAAATTTCTGCACCCTCTGGTCAGACATGACGCACAAACTCGGAAGAGTGGACTTGTACAAAAACGGACCGATGCAAAGTTATCGATGATTAACACTCGTGCAATAAATTAGATGTACGTTGTACAAAACGGCTGGTCAGTTTGTTTGTTTCAACTCATCTAAACATGGGATTTGTATAGTATACAGCGAGGCAGTTTGTCTTATAACAACAACGTAATTTGCACACTCGAATTTTTATTTCGACTTTACTTTCAAAATTATCAATAATATGTTTTTTTTCTTAATGTGACCCTAATACTACGCAGGATGGTGAGGTTATATGGTCAGTGAGGTCAGGTGAAAAAAAATCGTACTCCAGTGAAAAAAAGAAAGAAAAGAAAGAAAAGAAAACCAACAACAAATAACAAAAAAATAAAACAAACAAACTTAAACTGTACAATGTATTAAGAAACACACACACACACACACACACACACACACACACACACACACACAACGGCAATACAACTAGAAAACCGGTGTCCGAAAATGGGGAAAATCCGTGTGAACCCACAACCAGCCCAATATGATTTTAATTACTCTAAAACAAACACTGAAGTTATTATAAAAATCTAGTCAAGACTCAGGAGTCCACAGACCATTTGTAAAAAGCTGAACCTGAACGGAAAGGGCTGTAAAGCGCGTGAGCTTACCGTCAGAGGCTAAAGCCAAACTGAAAAACGAGCCGACGGGGCACCAAGAAAACCGACTTGAAATGAAAATGTCATCATGCGTTCAGTACAAAATGATTGCCCGGACACATCTCTTGGTCTGTGTCCTTAGAAAATGGCTACGATTGCGCATGCGTCGCTCTTCGGGGGCGTGGTCTCCGTCTTCTTGCTGGTTTCTGCTGCTGTAGGTGAGATTGACACTGGCACACATTCAAAACTGATTTTATACCCATTTAGCATGAGAGATTTTACACGTGTTTCTATTCGTGGGATCAGAGATAACTTAAAAAAAGTTTTAGTGGTTATAAACTCTGGATGTTCAGACCCTAGACAACAGATTATTTTTGCCCTTCATTTGTATTATTTTAAATAACCGATATGTGTTACTGGACTATTCATTGAAAATATGCTATCAGTTACCATAACAACTGTTTGAAAGGCTTGGGGCTACTTAATATTTTGTTGTGTTTCAGTCTTTATGTACTACCATGATAAACAAATCTCCACTGAAACCTCCTCAGTATTAATTTGGCCAACATTAATTTACTTACCAAACATCATACTGTTACGTAAATTTGGAAATTTTTTTGCATTTTGACCTTTGTAACTTCTCTGCTCTGTGTTGTTTCCTCTTTCAGATCAGAAACACATAACAGCTAAATCTGGTCAAAAGAACGTCACTCTGACATGTCGAGTCCCAGACATCAGCTTCACAGCTGTACAATGGAGCAGAACTGATCTGAATGAAGAATATGTCCTTTTATACCGGGATGAGCACTTTGAGCCATTCAGGCAGCATCCATCTTTTAAGAGCCGGGTGGATCTGCAGGACAGACAGATGAAAGATGGAGACATGTCTCTGATTCTGAAAAATGTGACGATTAATGACGCTGAAACATACGAGTGTCGTGTCTTCATGGAGGAAACGCAATCATGGTTGTACAGCGGCAACATCACACTGAGTGTTGTTGATCCTCCAGGTGAGTGAGTAGAGTTGAGTGTGTGTGTGATCAGAGGTGAAGCTGCTTCCTGGTTGTTGATGTTTGTTTGTAAAGATGTTGTTGATGAGACTTTGTAGAAAGCAGCTGGTCTGAGTGATGTGATCAGAGTGCAGTAGATAATGTCTGACAGCAGTTTGAAGAGGAAATGGATTCTGTTCTGTTCTTCACTCATCACCTACCTGACAGCTGACACCTCACACCTGTTTCTCACCTGCAGGTCAGACAGGAGGACACACAGAGGATGGAGGGAAGGAGGATGGAGGGAAGGAGGATGGAGGAGAGAAGATTGGATCTGTTGGACCTGCAGCTGCTGTGACAATTCCTGCTGTGCTTTTTGTTATTTTTGTTTTTATCTATAGTCAATATAAACAACACAGTCGAGTCCACACCAGCCTCCAGCTGAACTGCAAGACGTTTGAAATGTCTACACTCTAAGAAATAAAATGTTGCATTTACTCCACCCAGTTATGTCAACCGGTTCCACATAACTGGGTTAGTGAAATCTAAAATGTATGACACATTTAATTTGAACAACAAATTTTAAGTACATCTGATAAATTGACTAACCCTAAACGAGCTCTACTGAAACTATAGGATTAAATTACTTACTCTATTTAAAGTAAATTGAATAAATCAAACAATTTTATTCAGTTAACCCAACTTTAATAACACTTGGTGTAAAATGTGCTGAAGCAAACTTTGAGCTGTTCAAAATTCTAGATCAATGCCTTTTTCCTAAACAAAAATATCTTCACATATATGCAAGTGCATATTAAGTTCAGGAAGACATAATACAGAATGTAAAAATCAAGTTATTAAAACTGGAAAGTGTTGTGATTCCAACATTTTTAACATTAACATGACTTAATTTAAACTTGCTTCGGTACAATGGAAAACTCACAATACAGTCCTATAAACAACAAGTAGAAATGATTTTAGTGGCATTTTTGTCCATATTTAAAAAACTTTTTTTTTCAAAACTTAAAATGAAGTCCAAACTTAGGAGCAGTCTTGTTCAATGTAGCTGGATGGTGGTAAAAGTTCAACATGAACAAAGCATGCCAAAAAGTATGAGGCCTTGCAGAAGTTCTTGCGGAATTCAAACTGAACAGTTTATAAAGTGCAAGGAGATGGGTTTGAGAATCTTGTAACCAGTTCAGTGTCCTCTATAGTTCAGTGCAGGCTGTTTCACTCAAGCAGTTTGTTTTTCAGAACTTGCACCTTCATGGATAGGTTGTTCCCATCCAACTCCATCAGCACCTTCTGAAGAAATTCAAATATGTATTTCAGGTGCTTTGGGTACCTCAGATTTAGACTGTAGATTAGTCCAAGCAGGAGGGCACACCCCTTTGCCACATCACTAAGAGCTTTCAGCACAGTGTATCCTTCTATGATGACACCAATGTCCTCAGGTGTATCTGCAGAGTCTGCTCCTTCATGTCTGACAACACAGACTCCTAAAGTCAGCTGCTCCGTTTCTCTTCTTGCACTAAGATCCACATCCTTAAAATGAAAACAAGGGGGAAAAGCTAATTGCATATAGATACATATGAACAAATGAGCCCATCTTCAATTTACTATCCCAAATTAAAAAAAACAAACAAACAAACTGATCTTTCCCCTTTTCTAACTTACCAAGAATTCCTTGAACAGGTCATCTGGCTTTTTATTTAAGTAGACACAGATAGTTTTTAGAACGCATTCCTGTCGAACATCAATGCTGATATTCTGGTGGAGATAAGAACTCAATGTGAGACAAGATTTTGGTTCTTTTCCACCTCTTCCCAAACCAAAGTCAAAAATATTAACAGATGACTGATTAGCGATGAGTAATTAAACAATGTTACACACTCACATTAGTGACATTCAGTGAGGTTAATGATTGGTTAGGCACTGACTCTTCTGAGTCAGATCAACAAATATATGAACACAAAACTAGAAGCTTTTCAATTTTGACAATACATGAAAGCTTTCACTTTTGCTTTAATCAATTCTAGACTGTTCAACAATATAATTATTAATTGTACCCCTAAAAATGTTAAAATGAAATAGAAGATTAGAACTCGCAATATGGATTCAAAATCCTATCACAATATTTTCTGGTATTTATTACGATAACAAGAGTTACAATAAAAGATAACAGTAACCACAACCATCTGAGCCACTTTTGTTGCATCTACTGACAGACAGAACTAGCTGACCAACATAAAATGAAGGGGGAACACACAAATTGTCACTTTGATAATCAATGGAACTGATACAAGGAGTTAAATGCATTACATATAGCTATATTACACATAATGCTGCATTTTAATGACACAAGATAAATGCATGTCTTACACTTTAATCACTGATATTAACACTAAACCAGATATCAACACGGGGTAGAATTCCTTCAAACAATGTAGCAACTTATTTGATGCATGTTTCTAAAATACACTATACATATATTTCATTCTTCAAACGGATCGGATCGCTGGCGCTCCTGGTGCTCATTACTGACACCAGGGAGCATGCGCGGTAGATGTTGGGAGTAATTTTAAAGCTGCAGTTCTTAGTAGGCAAGTTGCAGCTTAACATGAATCGTAAAACATTTTGGGAAATTACACCGAAGTGGGCCCATAATATTTGTTAAATGCCTGACTACTAACACCTGTGAGAGGCATACAAGCTAGAATGCTAAAAAAAATTACCAGACATCATTTGTTTTAAAATAAAACATACAGAAGTACTCCCGAAAATGTCGGATGTTTATCATTTAGTACACATTAACCAAATTGTCATCCTTAAATGGTTGTACTTACCAAATAATCCTCAAATGGCAATGGATTTTATCCAGGCTTCTGAGCATGATGCAAGTTTCGGTTAAAATGGCGGTTGTTCAAACTTCCACACTGCACATGTGCAAACTGAGAAGTACGAGAGCCTGTTAGGACAATCCTCTTCAAATTAAAGTGCTGTTCATTTTAAATGAACTTTTTATTGGATTTAATGTACTGCATTTTGTTGTATTGAAATATTGTGTTATTAATTAAAATCAAAACAATATCCTTGTGTTTAGAGTTAAAAATCAATTGGTGACATTAATTTTAACATAAAACGTTTACATAATGCTAGCAACATCAATGTATCATTTCTTAGCTTTTTCCAGCCTAACCACGAGTCTCCTGTTACTGCTCCAACTTCTTAGTGCTGACATTCAGCACATGGAAATTTGATGAAAATGAGCCTTTGAATTTATCTGCTTGTAAGTAATCCTAGTATTGTAAAACAACCTATCCCCACAAGCTGCATGTCTTTGGACGGTGGGAGAAAGCTGGAGTACCAGGAGGGAACCCACGCAAACACGGGGAGAACATGCAAACTCCACACAGAAAGACCCCGACCTGATGGTGGAATTGAACTCAGGACCTTCTTGCTGTGCAGCAACAGTGTGAACCACCGTGCAACTGTGCTGTGTGGATAGGTTAATTCATTAATCCAAATTGCCCATAGGTGTGAATGCGGAGTGAATGTGAGCGTGATGGTCGTCTGTCTCTGTGTGTTAGCCCTGCAACAGACTGGCGACCTGTCCAGGGTGTACCCCGCCTCTCGCCCTATGACAGCTAGGATAGGCTCCAGCAACCCCCACAACCCTGAGAAGGATAAGCGGAAGCGAATGGATGGATGGATTAATGGATTGTAAAACAAAAATAAATCTTGTAAAACCATTACTGTTTCTGTTTGGGTTCTTTTCTTTAAAAATAAATGTGAAAAAAATGGCAGTGATCATGATTATGTAGGTCTAATCTCACTGGAAACCACCTGAAATCAGCTCCAGGCAACACCAGGTGAGAACGACAGAAAGAGAAGCTGCAGCACTAGAGGCGATTTCTTATTCCTTAAGACATATTTAAGAGTTTTTCCTCCCCTCTGTCACCAAAGTGCCTACCCATACGAGGTCGTCCCAGTTTTCTGCATTATAGGGTTTAATCTGGAATCTAACCTGCTCCCGGGGAGGTTAGATTCCAGCATAATGATAAACCACCATTCACCATTCGGGTTAACCCTGATCTTACTTGGGTAAAAAAAATTCTACTTTATCAGAAGTACCTGAAGGTGCTTCAGCTGTGATAAGGTGAAAAGCACCTGGACAGGCCACCAGTCTGTTGCAGGACCAACACACATTCACGCTTAAAGCCAATTAGGAATCACTGGTTAAGCAAACAGGCCTGTATCTGGACTGTGGGAGGAAACCAGTCCATAGAGGTACAGGGAGAGCATGCACACTCCACACTGAACGACCTGAAGTAGATTCAAAGGTGTACAGTAGTTCATGTTATTTTAAAGCACATTAAACTATATTTAGCTTTTATTAATGACAATATTTGAAAAAACAACAAAAATATACTGAGTCAATCAAAATGACTACTTAACCTTAATTCTTTGGAACATTAAACACTTTTGATATAAACAAAAAAAAGGTGAAGGTGAGTTCACATTCAGGTCTTTTATGAAAACAGAGACATTCAGAAACTATTTTCCAAGCAAACCAAAGCATATTTATTGGGTGTTTGCATGCCTGAAATTTTCAGTGTTCAAATGCTTTTCATTACCTTTCCCAGGAAAAATACTCCTTTCTCACATTCCTTCTGTTACAGAAAATTAATCATTCATGAACCTGTACTAAAGAAAAACAAGCAAAAACAAAAACAAAGTGATGAATTTCACATTTAGCTTTTACTTTTTTTTCTGTGCTGAGGTTTGAAGAAAAGCATAGACACGAAGAAAAATTCTGTAAAGGCTTTCAAAAATGGAAGTGTTAATCATTTATTGTCATCAACCAACAAAATGCAGTGATAGAAGAAAAGAGAAATCTAAATCAAATCAATATTCTGTGTGACCAACCTTTGCCTTCAAAACAGCATCTATACACTTGCACACAGTTTATGAAGGATCTCGGGTGATAGGTTGTTCCAAACATCTTGGAGAACTAATCACAGATCTTCTGTGTCTTCCTCTAATCCCAGACATACTCGATGATGTTGAGATCAGGGCTCTGTGGGGGCCATATCATCACTTCCAGTACTTCTTGTTCTTCTTTACGCTGAAGATAGTTCTTAATGACTTTGGCTGTGTGTTTGGGATCGTTGTCCTGCTGCAGAATACATTTGGGACCAAAAAAACAACCATTTTTATTTCTGAGAGCATTCTATGTTTACAGCATTTTTTCCACACCTGTAAAACTTTTGCACATTACTCTATATAGTAAATTCAGATCAGGCCACAGCACAGAGCCTGTTTTCATCATAATCTGTGATGATGAGTCTGCTCTGCTCTCAGGTTTTAGTCTGTGAGTAGCTGCTGTTAAAGTATTTATATGACTAAAGTTCCTTTAACATTACCAGAAGATTTCCCCTTTATTCATTACAGGAACCTTATTCTTCTACTGAATGGCAGGAACAAATTTTTTCAAACTTCCCTTTTTTGTCTGTTTCCTGGAATTGTAAAGAAAACATCACGAGGTGCAGGAATGATGCAAGGTCTTTTTTTTTTTTGATTCATCTATTTTAGAAAGTGTTTTGTATATTTTAGACAATGATTTGGGCAGATTAAGAGTAAAACATTGTACCACACTTGGTGGTGTTTGTAATTCAACTTGACTGGGTTTATTTTATTTTATTATTTTTTTACTATGGATTTAATTTGTTGATATTCTAAAAATCTTTTCTTGCTGATCCCATGTTGTATAACTAGTCTGTCAAACGGAATAAAGTCTGTTCCTTCTAATATATGTTCCAAGTATTTAATTTCTTTGCAACTCCAATCTGGGAAGTTAGTCAGAATCAGAAATACCTTATTAATCCCGAAAGAAATTATAGGTTACAGCAGGCAGCACGCTAATGCATGCACACCCTCTGACCAAACATACTTTACACAAACATCACATTGAGGAGACATGTCAGAGAGCTAAGCTGATAGGAAAAAAAAACAACGAAAAGTTTTTTTTTTTACTGCTTTATTGTCATAAAGGATGCTCCATTATTTACTCTGCTAAAAGAAGTCATAAGGGAAGCATTGATGCATATTTCCCTATTATTTAAAAAATCTAACCAGCTCTGATTGCAATTAATCGACTGAAATCTGAGTTGTATTTGTACCTCATGGTTGCAGTTTGTAAGAAATTCTTAGAGCAACGCAATGTGGTGGCAGATTTCTTTTCTCATGTATTAATCACATATTTAATCATATCACATTAGTTATAGCAATATTACTTTCTCACTTTACCATAGTAAGAGCAGTCCTGCCACTACTTTACATGCATGTGGAAAGTTAACACAGTGAGGCCATTGTAATGGGAGACATTAAACAGATAGTGGGACTCCTGCTTATCAGGGATGTAAATCCTTAGGTGAAGGCTAAGCAGAAAACAAGGTCATAATTCTCTCTGTGAGGGAGGAGGTATAGCCCCCACCCCACCCCATGAGAGGGGCCAACATGTAAGAGTTTGAGAAATGTTCTTTGTCTGTGTGTCTGTATATAAGATGTAAGGTGGTCCTGGTGTTTCACTGGGATGCTCTCTCCACATTGCAATGTGTTTATTAAACCCACAAAATCAAGCTCACTGGGTGTGTGCAGGTTATTGTTAAAAATTTCCATAACAACAGAAAACAGCAGACTCTCTGATACATGAGACTGCTGGGAGTATTTGACCTTAAGACAATAAATAGAACCAGGTGACACCTTAT